GCCGTGGGAGCCGTAGTGTTTACTTGGCGCGCCCTGTGTGATCTGGGGCGGGACTGTGCTCCCGGAGCCCTGGGACCTGCCAGGACACTTGGCACGCTGTGGGCATGCTGTGCCCCGCTGTGGGCACCCTGTGAATTGCTGGCAAAATGAATAAACAAACAGATAGGACAGATCTGACTGCGAAAGCAACCCGACCGGAGAAAGGGGCCGCGCGTGGCCTTGGTGGACCTGGAGGTGGAGTGGGCGGGCGGTTCTCCGAACGTGGACCAGACCCCGCCTCTCTGAGGGGCAGCCGGCGGCTCTCCAGCGTGCGTGGCCCCATCTCGGCTGTCGGGGTCCAGCACCCCCTTCTGCGTGCACACCTGCCTGCCTGGCCCTGACCACGCCTGCAGCCAGGTGGGAGGGTGACCTGCGGTGCCCTAACCCCAGAGGGACTGGACTGTGAGTCCCACGTTGGGATTTGATGCTTGTGTTTGTTTTTACTTTTTCTTTTGTTGTGTTTGTGTGTTTGTTTTAATCCTCACCCGAGGACATTTTTCCATTGATTACTAGAGAGAGAGGGAGGGAGGGAGGGAGGAGAGAGAGAGAGAGAGAGAAACATTGAAGTGGGAGACACATCAATTGGTTCCCTCGCACATGCTCCTCCCAGGGTGGGAGCCTGCACCCAGGTACGCGCCTGGACCGAGAATCGTCTCCGTGACCCTTTGGCGTGGACGGACGCTCTAACCACTGAGCAGTCTGGTCAGGGCTGTTTTTATTTTTTCTAATCAATAATTTTATCAAATTTTATTATAACTTCTTGTAGCCTTTGTCTTTTAACAATTTTCAGAATAGTAATTTGATTTTGTCTACTGTCTTCTGAGAAGCCAGGGAGGTATGATGTGTTTTTAACAAGATAAATTTTAAAATGGGTAAAATTTTAAGTCAGTAACTTTTTAAAAATAGGTTTTTTTTATTGATTTCAGAGAGGAAGGGTAAGGGAGAGAGAGAGAAACATCAGTGATGAGAGAGAATCAATTGGCTGCCTCCTCCACACCCCCACACGGGATCGAACCGTGACCTCCTGGTTCATAGGTTGACTTGCAACCACTGGGCCACGCCGGCCGGGCGAAGTCGGTAGCTTTTTGAAGGAGCGGAGGGTCATCTCGTGGGAGGAGCCCAGGTTACTGACGTGTGCTCACCGCAAGCCGGCGTCTTGCATTCTAAACCGGGTTGGGAGCTTGTTTTAGGAGCTCGCAGTCTCTAATTTAAAAAAAATAAAAATTTCCCCGTGTCATTTGTTTCTGGAGGAGCCAGTTCTTAAGAGAAAGCACAAAACAGCTACTTTCGCTCTTTGGTATATTTCTGCGCAGCGTCGTTATGTCACGCTTTCTGGCGTCACATGCCGATCCACGCTCACAGGAAATTTGGACAATACAGACGTGTGGCAAGGAGAGCCTGTCACAGAGGTGGCCACAGTTGCCCTCCGTGTTTTCCTCTGTTTCCGTAGAAAAGAAAAGGAAAGAAAAGGAACACAGAGCAGGCACTTCGCTGCAGCTGCGCGTTGGGATCTCACAGCTGCTGGCCGTCGGGTAGGGCGGGGTCACCGGCCTCCTGAGTGCACCAAGGTCTGGGAGGCAGGGGCGCGCCACAGCGGGGCTCCTGGCTCCCCTCCTGGTGCCACCCGGCTCCCCACGCTGGCCTGGCCGGTGTCTGCGATGCCCTCTCCTTGGGAAGGGACCTCCCCCCACCCCCCACCCCGTCACGTGCGCCTGCACCCCGGGGGTGGGTCAGACACTGCCATGCTCCCAGGTGGGCTTCTCGCTGGGAGTTGTCAGGTGGAGCAGCATGAGGTCCCCACGCTCCTGGCTGGAGGTGGCTCAAGGCGGAGCGCGGTCCAGGTGGTCAGGCTGGCCTGGACGCCCCCCCACACACACACCTCCATTGCAGGTCCTCTTAGCACTTGTTGTTTACGGGCTCTACAAATAATTGTATAGAAACTGAACAAACAATACAACAGCTCGTGACAAAGTCTCACGAGGGAATAACTCAGCTACTTTACGCCGTGAGCTCTCGCAGTTTCTTCCGTGGAGATGAGACAACCTCAGGGCTCTCTGCCTGGGTCCGTGATGGAGAATCGACGCTCTGTGAGCCCAGGACAGACGCCTGTGGGTGGGGACACGGGGTGGGGACAGCGAGCGAGGGGACACAGTCAGCCTCGGAAGGAGTGACTGCTGTGCCATGTGCCGTGTGCTTGTTTTATCATGTTTGCGTCAGGCACACGGGCGCGGTGGGCCCGGCTGCACAAGTCCTAGGGAGACGCCGTGGGAATGTCAGGAGCGGGGCTGGCGGGGAAGGTGGGCATCCGGGCACAGCATCTGGCTTGTTTCTGTTTCAGAGAAAACTGTCCTGATGAACCGGCCTCTGGGAGAAGTCGTCCCCCCACCCTCGGCACTGACAGTGTAATTTGCATAACAATTAAACCAGTTAGTGTCCCGCCCAAGCGCCTCTCCGCCCAGTTCTGGCTGTTAATCCGCTTTATGACCCAGTTTCCCCAATGGACGCTTCTACTTGCTCTGAAATGTGTTCCGACCTGGGATGTGCACAGTGAGGGGATTCGGGGCGGCCACGGAGTGACTTCTTCCCGGCCTCAGGCTGTTTGCTGGGAGCGGCCGCCTTGGCCTCCAGGTGGCCTGTCCCAGGGCCCCCTCTCCCTCTGGTGTGAGCGCCTGCGTGTCCTCCAGCTCTGATGAGTGGAGGGCGGGCCGTGGGACCGCGGGCTTTGCTGAGGGCCAC